AGTAGGATGGGGAAAATCAAAAAGTCCAATGGTTGATGAGGATGTGAAAAACCAGAACTCGAACATGTTGCTTGTAGGAATGTAATATGGTACAGCTGCTTCAGAAAACAAGCCGATAGTTCCTCAAACTGTTATAACAGAGAGTTTCCATATGACCCAGCAATTCCACTGCTAGGCATATACCCAGTGAATCTCACCATCATGTATGTCCATAAGAACGAGGTTCTAATTAGAATAAGATATGTTCCTTGCTTGCATAATTACATCAAAATGGATTCTACTGTTGTGTTTAACTAAAAAGAACCAATAAAAAATGAACATAATAAAAATAGGGGTAAAAAAGAAATGAAAGCTTATGTCTACACAAAAACTTATATGTGCATACTTATTACAGTATCATTCATAATAGCCAAAAGGTATACACAAACCAAATGCCCATTAACTGACATATCTATATCATTTGATCATAAAAAAGAATAAAGTACCAACAGATGATACAACATGGTTTACATTACAGTATAATATAAACCTTGAAAACATTTTGCTAAGTGAAAGAAACCAGCCACAAAATGTCATCTGTTATATTATTCCTTTTATATGAAATATCCAGAACAAGGAAATCTTTAAAGTCAGAAAAGAGACCAGTGATTGTCAGTTAGCTTTCCATCACTGCAACCAAATACCTGAGATAATCAACCTAAGAAAGGTTTGCTTTGGCTCACTGTTTTGGAAGTTTCAGCCTACAGTCAGGAGAAACAGTGGGGTTTCTGGTCCTATGGCAAAGCAGCACATCATGGAGCAGAGGGAGTGGCGGAGAAAAGGTTCTCACCTCAGAGCAGTTGGAAAGAAAAAGGGTCCTGGGTCCCAATATGCCCTTCAAAGACATATATCCAATGACCAGACTTTCTTCTACTAGATCCCACTCCTTAAAGTTTCCATTAATTCCCAATAATGCCACAGCTGGGGACCAAGCCTTAACCCATAGATCTTTGGGGAACACTTATCTAAAATATGTCAGTAACCTGGGGAGGAGAAGGGGTGGTGATGAAAAATATAGCTGCTAAAAGATACAGGGAATTTTTTTCATGGGTGATGAAAATGTTCTAAAATTGACTATTGTGATGGTTTCACACATCTGTAAGTATACTAAAAAGCCTCGAATTCTACACTTGAAATAGATGAGTTTTATGGTATTGGAATAATATTTCAATAATTCTAGAAAAATTAAAAATCAACTCAAAATAGATCATCAAACTGAATGGAAAAGCTAAAACTATAAAACTCTTAGAAAACATAGGAGTAAGTCTTTTTACTCTTGGGTTCAGCAAAACCTCTTAGATATGACACCAAGAGCACAGAGAGAAAAAAAAAATAGCTCAGTTGGAGCTATTTGAGGGATGAATTTTACAGCAGAAAATTGTATGTCACCAAGAGCACAGATAGAAAAAAAATAGCCCAGTTTATCAAAATTTCAAACTTGTATATTTTAAAGAAACATCATGAAAGTAAAAAAGACCACTCACAGAATGGAAAAATATCTACAAATCATTTATTTAACAAGGGACTTGGATTCAGAATAGATCAAGAACTCTAACAACTGAATTTTAAAAAATAGAAATGATTCAATTTAAAAATCAGCAAAGACTTTAAGTAGTCATTTCTCCAGACAAAATTTGTTAATGGTCAATAAAAACATGAAAAATGTTCAACATTGTTAGTCATCAGGAAAATGAAAATCAAATGCACAAGATAGCAAGTCACACCCTCTAGGATGGGTAAAATAATTATTAAGAAAATAACAAGTGTGGATGGAGATGTGGGGAAATGGGAGCCCTGATACACCACTGGTAGAATGGAAAGTAATGTAGCCACTTGGGGGAAACTGTTGGGAAGTTCCTCAGTATCTTAAGCTGAGCTTTGGTCCAGTGATTTTATTCCTAGATGTCTACCCAAGAATAATAAATCAGGGATT